CGGTTATTATTTGTAGATTTTTGACAATGACCATAGTGACTGGCATGATGTGATACCTCATTGTAGTTTTGATTTGCATTTCTCTAGTAATTAGCGACATTCAGCATCTTTTCATGTATCTTTTGGCCATCTCTCTGTCTTCTTTGGAGAAATGTCTGTTTAGGTCTTCTGCCCATTTTTTGATTTTGAGTTTTTTTTGATACTGAGTTGTATGAGCTGTTTGTATATTCTGGAAATTAATCCCTTGTTGCTTGCATCATTTGCAAATATTTTCTCCTATTCTGTAGATTGCCTTTTCATTTTGGCTTTGGTTTCCTTCACTGTGCAAAAGCTTATCATGTCCCATTTGTTTATTTTTGCTTTTATTTGTTTTGCATTGGGAGACTGATCTAAGAAGGTATTGCTATAGTTTATGTCAGAGAATGTTTTGCCTATGTTCTCTTCTAGGAGTTTTATGGTGTCATGTCTTACATCATGTCTTAAGTCTTCAAGCCATTTTGATTTTATTTTTATGTATAGTGTGAGGAAGTGTTCTAACTTCATTGATTTATATTCAGTAGTCCAGCTTTCCCATCATCACTTGCCAAAGAGACTGTCGTTTCTGCATTGTCTTTTCTTGCCTCCTTTGTCAAAGATTATTTGACCATAGGTGTGTGAGTTTATTCTGAGCTCCCTATTCTGTTCTGTTGATTGGTGTGTCAGTACCATGCTGTGTTGATAACTGTAGCTTTGTAGTATTGTCTGAAGTCTAGGAGGGGTTATGCCTTCAGGTTTTTGTCACATTACCCATGGCATTTTCCATGGAACGACAACAAATAATCCCATAATTTATATGGAACCACGTAAGACCCAGAATTGCCAAAGCAATCTTCATTTCTTTATGATTGAATAATATTCCAAATGCAAATATTTGTATTTATATTCTAAAATAGAAAGACTTTTAGTTATTAAATGTACATAGAGTAAATTAGACTTTTTGGGGGGATATGCACTATTATAAATTTTAACACATGTAGATATATGAGAACATCACCACAATTAGAATACAAGGAACAATTTTATCACCTGAGGAAACTCTCTTTTGCTACATACCTTGGGAGACACATCCTCACCTTGACCTCTAACTCTTGATAACCACTGGTCTGTTCTCTTTCACAAGAATTTTGTCTTCTTGAGAATGTCATATAAACAGAATCAGGTAGTATATATCCTTTTGACACATAATGCCTTTTAAATTTATCTAAGCTGTTGTGTATGTTATTAGAATGTTCTTATTTTATTGCTGAGTAGTATTCCATTGTATTAATGTATCACTTCAGCCATTGAAGGATATTTGGGTATCTAGTACATTTGAAAAAAATAACTTCACAGTTTAATTTATTTTATTTTGGGGGGGAGGGATAATTAGGTTATTATTTATTTTTAATGGAGGCTTTTCTCCCCAATGTTTCCATATAATTTTATTAGCAGTTATTACATGAAAATTCACATTTATAGGTTCCAAAGGACTATCTTAAAAAATTCTAAAGTATATATGTAATTAGATTTTAACAGTAAGGTAGAACGTAGTCTCATAGCACAGCCCTTAAAAAGTCAAGAATAATACTGAGAATTAAGTACAGTTCTATCAAGAACTAGAAACGAATTCTGTGTGCATAGTGTCACTTAAAGCAAAGTTCCATGAAAGTATAACATATTTCTATGGGTGTGAATTTCAGTGGCAAACATCATTGACTTCCAAACAACTGACACCAAAGGAACTTCCAATTAAAACACAAACACGGTGGCTCTCGTTTAATGTAAATCTATGATAATTCTCTAAAGAGACCTTGAATCCTTAAGTCTTGTAATACGATTTTATGCTGTGACACTAGTACAAACACATCAACTCTAATGCATAGATTCTGACACATGACAACAGGATACTAAAGATAGCCTTTTTCTATGTCAAAAAATGCTGAGTTTTCCAGTACAGTATAGGCTGGTCATTGCTGATGTAGTGAAATTCTACATCCGTCCTATTTTTAATGGAGGATTGAACCCAGGACCTTGTGCATGCTAGACACACACTCTACCACTGAGCTATACCCTCCTGCCTCTAGTACATTTTAATGGCTGTCTCCCCTACTAGTCAGTAAGTTCCATGATCATGACAGGCTGGACACTGTTAGCATGTGTCTTCTATCTGTCTGTCTCTCTGGATGTGTGTGCATACATACATTACACACACACACACACACACACACACACCAGACACCATATGTGGTCTTTATTTTTAAACCATTTTCGTGTAAAATGCACAGATGATGGCCTTTTATCCCTAAATACTTCAGTCTAGAATCACGTATTGCATTCAGTTGTCATGTTTTTGTAGTCTCTTTTACACTGTAATGTCGCTTCGTCAGCCGTCTTTCTCACTTACAACTAACACGTTTGAAGAATACAATCCTATTCTTTCTTCTCTTCCTTTCTTCCTCCCTCTCTCCCTCCCTCCCTGTATTCTTCCCTTGCTCTCTCCCTGTCCCTGAACAGAAGTTTCCTCATTGGAGGTCTGCTGTTTCCTCATGATTAGATCCAGGTTATGCATCCTTGGTTGGAATATTACACAAGTGATGTGTCCTTCTTGAAACACCACATCCAGCAGTTTGGGGTGTCCACCTTCTTCTCATTAATGATGTTAATTCTGGTCATGTGTTGTCCGATTTTTCCATTGTGTAGTTACCATTTTTCTTCCCAGCAGCTGTTAAGCAATCTGTATTGAGATACTGCTCCTTATTAAAATTTTCCCCTACATTGAGCACAGTAATAAAAGTTTTTATTGTTTCTGGACTATTTTTTTTTAAACATATAGTCAGTTTACAATGTTGTGTCAGTTGGACTATTTTTTACTGTAAACCTCATTCAAATTTTGATTCTCTTGAGTTTAGGATCTATAAGTAACTTTTAAGATCCATAAGATCAGTAACTGCTTTTGTAACCATTCTTTATAAGTAAACCCATATTGATTGGTTTATATATAGATGCTATATGTCTAAATAATGTCCAGATATGTGTGAAAGATGATAATAGAACAGTGTTTTCTTATTTATGTATTCTTGTACTTGTAATGGATTTTCTGAATAAAAAAAAAAAAGATGTGTGTTGAAACCTGAAGCATGATATTATTTAAAGACAAAGGCAGTACAATAAGAATGAGAGAAAAATAATTCAGTGAGCCAATTTCCTGAAAAGAAAAGGGAAGGAAGCCCATTTAGGAACCTGAGTTAAGAGGTTCAGAAATAGTTCTAATGAATATTAGTATGAATGAGGAAAAGGATATGAGGAACCACTTTGATTTGTTATTCCAGAGCAAAATCAAAATGTCAGAATTCAGATTGGGGAGAATTATTATGCATTGGAGATATATGAAGATTTTATTTAACTTGTTATAGGATTTAAAACTCATGAGAAAAAATTTAAATTACCTAAATAATATGAACTGCTGTGAAATGGAAGTACTTAAAGCACAGGAAAATGTACCTTCTGGTAAACGCAGTGGGAAGCTGGGAAACGTGAGTTCTAATCTAAAACTTGAGAGGCCCGTTTTGCCACTAATTAGTGATGTGTTCATAGCAAGGAAGATGAAGAGGTCTCTGAGTTCTTTTTTTGCGGTTTTGATTTCTGTGGTCTTCCCTAGTAGTGATCACTTGTCTCTAAGAACAGCAACTCCTAGGTGAGCAGAAAGGCTAAACTTTGTTTTTCTGGATGTCAGAATTTTGCAGGATATCAACTGGAGAGCTCTCCTCTATTATTTAGATGTACTGTGTGTTATAGTCACTTTAGTTTACCTCAGTTTTTACAGTATGAGAAATATAAGGTTCATTTTATTCTATCCTGATATCATTTTACAACCCAAGACATACACCTTAATATATTAAGGTGCTAGTTGGTAGTATTCAATGTTCTTGATACTCCATATTTTTTTAATTATAAAAGAAGAGCATAGAAGATAATGTAACAGCATTTGTGTTCACCATTCTGAATTGTTCGGTTTTGCTACCTTTTTTTTTCAAGGAATAAAGTAAAATTGAAGTCTCTACAGTATATTCAAAACAATATATTCTATGCATTAAAAAATTCATAGAAATTACATTACTCTATTTGTATCTTGTTTCTACTTGCTTTTTCCACTTGATAGCTATCTGTTGATGTATAGAGTTTGTTTCTTCTGGGTATTTTAAATTTTCATGTTTTTTAAAAAATACTTAGTTTTAAAATTATGAAATATTTATGTGTTGGAAAAACTCAGATTAACTGCATTCTGAAAGAATAAGTTCCTGAGATTTCCTTTTAACAATACTTTTGAAACACAGATAGCATTACTTCCTGTCTCTCAGTTTCCTGTATCCATGGCAACCTCTGTTTTACACACTGAGTGTGGAGGAACCAGTGTGAAGAGTGGTGTTTCCTGAGCAAATTGCGACTTAAAAAAAAAAAGGTGGAGGGGTGGTGGTCAACAGTGCCGCAGAAAGAAATGCAGTTTAGAAATGTTGCTCTTCAGATTTTAGAAAGAAAACCTTTACTTGAATCAGCCGATTGTTAATAATATGAATTTCCTGTTCTTGGTAAGATTATTTATTTAAATATGAACATTTAGCTTACACAAAAAATAATTTGGTTTGTGAAAACCTGTAGTTTAAAGAGAGTGTAATTGTTCTGTAATGAATTTGTGTTTTCATAAATTATGATGGTATTTATTTGATATTAGACTTCAGGTTGATAAAGGGACATACTATATCCAAAGATCGTTATTCCTGCACAATCATTTGTCACTTTTGTTATAGTCAGTTGTAATATTTTAAATTAACTTAGCAACCATTTTATTTTGCAGTTCACTAAATTTGAATTATTTTGTCAAACAGTGGGTTAATGGCCTGGAGGTGCTAATAATTCTGGAACATATTTCAAACTTACTATTTTATGTTATCACCATAGTTTATGATTTATGATATTTAGTATTGTTGTCTGATCCTAATAAAATAGAGTACAGAATTTCTAGTATTATAAAACTTTCATTTAAAGAGCTTTTTGGTGATTTAAAGTTTTACCTTTTCTTTTTATAGCCAATTTTGATATGAACAGAAAAACCAAGAACAGGGCTATGTGTGGAGTACATTTTTCTCTGCCTTGTCTACGACTGTTTCTGCTTGTTACCTGTTGTCTTGTATTATTATTCCGTAAAGAGGTACTTGGATGTTCATCTGTTTGCCAACTCTGCACTGGGAGACAAGTTAACTGCCGTAACTTAGGCCTGTCAGTTATTCCTAAGAATTTTCCTGAAAGTACAGTTTTTCTGTATCTGACTGGAAATAACCTGTCCCATATAAATGAAAGTGAATTAACAGGACTTCATTCTCTCATGGGATTGTATTTGGATAATTCTAGCATTGTGTATGTATATCCAAAAGCTTTTGTCCATTTGAAGCATTTGTATTTTCTATATCTAAATAATAATTTTATAAAACGCTTGGAGCTTGGAATATTTGAGGGACTTTCCAGTCTTCGTAACTTATATTTACAGTCTAATCAAGTATCTTTTGTGCCAAGAGGAGTATTTCGTGATCTAGTTTCAGTTCAGTACTTAAATCTACAAAGAAATCGCCTCACTGTCCTCGGGAGTGGTACCTTTGTTGGTATGATTGCTCTTCGGATACTTGATTTATCAAACAATAACATTTTGAGGATATCAGACTCAGGCTTTCAGCACCTTGGAAACCTGGATTCTTTGTATCTAGAAGGTAATAATTTAACAAAAGTACCATCAAATGCTTTTGATGTACTTAAGAGTCTTAAAAGACTTTCCTTGTCTCATAACCGTATTGAAGCAATACAGCCCTTTGCATTTAAAGGACTTGTCAACTTGGAGTATCTCTTCTTGAAAAATTCAAGAATTAAAAATGTTGCTAGGGATGGGTTTAGTGGAATTAATAATCTTAAACATTTGATCTTAAGTCATAATGATTTGGAAAATTTAAATGCTGACACATTTAGTTTGCTAAAGAATTTAATTTATCTTAAGTTAGATAGAAACAGAATAATCAGCATTGCTAATGATACATTTGAAAACATGGGAGCATCTTTGAAGATCCTTAATCTGTCATTTAATAATCTTACAGACTTACATCCAAGGGTCCTTAAGCCATTGTCTTCACTGACTCATCTTCAGGCAAATTCTAATCCTTGGGAATGTAACTGCAAACTATTGGGCCTTCGCGACTGGCTAGCATCTTCAGCCATTACTCTAAACATCTATTGTCAGAATCCCCCATCTGTGCGTGGCAGAGCATTGCATTATATTAAATCGACTGACTTCACAAATTGTGTTGCATCTTCAACAAATGTATCCAGAGCTTGGGCTGTAAAATCTCTTCATATTCATCACAAGACCACTGCATTAATGATGGCCTGGCATAAAGTAACCACAAATGGGAAACATTTGGAAAACACTGAGAGCGTTACTTTCTGGGAACAAAATCGTACTTCACCTGCCAGTATATTTTTTCAAGAGAATACCTTTGGTAACCCGTTAGAGACTACTGCAGTGTTACCTGTGCAGATGCAGCTTACTTCTCCTGTTAACTTGAACTTGGAAAAAAACAGTGCTCTACCAACTGATGCTGCTTCAGTGTCAGGGAGAACATCTCTGATTTGTACACAAGAAGTTGAAAAGCTGAATGAGGCTTTTGACATTTTACTAGCTTTTTTTATCTTAGCTTGTGTTTTAATCATTTTTTTGATCTACAAAGTTGTTCAATTTAAGCAAAAACTAAAGACACCAGAAAACTCAGGGGAAAATAGACTTGAGTACTACAGCTTTTATCAGTCAGCAAGGTATAATGTAACAGCCTCCATTTGTAACACGTCCCCACATTCTCTAGAAAGCCCTGGTTTCGAGCAGGTTCGACTTCATAAACAAATTGTTCCTGAAAGTGAGGCACAGGTTATTCTCTTTGAACATTCTGCTTTATGATTGAACTAAATGTTGGCTATCAGAAAACTTCAGTGTCATGGATCTGAATAAAAAGGAAGCCTCCTTATAGAATTATAGACTTTATTTGCATATATAATGAATGATATGAGTTTAGCATTAATAAATGTGTTTTTAATATTTTGTGAATACTGTATTCATTCAGCATTTTCTTTGATAGACACAGTATTAAGTAACATAATAGCTAACATTTCTGTGTACTAAGCACTAGCTAAATACTTCACCTAATAATATTTAATCCTTAAAAAGTGTTAAAAGATAGCACTGTCTACATTTTACAGGTAAGGAGACCTAGGTAGAGTGAGTTTAAGAAACTGTTCCAAATTCTCGCAGCTTGTGACACTTTTGAGGTCTGCTGATTCCAGAGCCATGCTTTAAATGTCATACTATACTGCTGCCTGGGTGCTAGGGTTATAGCTGTGAATAGCATGGACACAGTTCCTGTTCTCGGTAGAACGTGAATCTAGAGGAGGAGACACATGGTTACTGAATAGGATGGTAAGTACTGCACTTGAAGGTCCTATCTGGTGTAACATATTTGGAGGCGAGGGATGGCTTTATGAGAAAAGTGATACTGCAGATAGATTGTGAACAGTAAGTGGAAATTAGCCCAGTGAAAGGGAGCGGAGTACTAGGTAGAGGTAACATTGTTAAAAGAAGGGTTGAAGAAATAGAATACTGCTTTTCAGGAACTGAAATTCAGTCCAGCTGGAGTTGTGAGTGGAGTTGTGAGATTTGTTGCTAGAGGGATCAGATGATGAAGGATATTATAATTTCATGTTTTTCCCTAGGGCAGCAGGGAGACAGGGAAGGATTTTAAGCAATGTGAAGAGTAGAGCATGCTGCTGTTTGGCTACACAGTCAATAAAAGTGCACTCTTTTCTGGAAGGAACGACAAGGCCAGAAGCAGGATTCATCTGAATCACTAATCTAGGGAGGGATTCTGGAGGTGTGAGCCAGGGTGGTGGCAGAGAAGATGGGTGGATCCTAGAGCTACTTTGAAAGTAAGATGCCTTGGTGATTGGCTGAGGGGTGGCAGGTGAGGGAGGAATCAGATGTTAGGTTTCTGGCTTAGGCAAATATTTGCCCTTAGAAGATACACAACATTTAAAAAAAATTATTGATGTATATACCTCATACAGAAGTAGATACACTTGTTTTAACCACCACTTAGGTCAAGAAATAGGACATTCAAACATAACATTTATGTGGACATTTTTTGAACTTAAGAATTATATAAGTAGCCGAGTGTTTAAGCTTTAAGGTAGAGGGGGACCCACATGTAATTATGGCATTTTTACTCTATAATCTTACCCACACCACGACAGTAACAGTAAAATTTGCCATCTTTGTTTTTAAGGCTTGCAAAAATGGGAGAAGAAAGCCTGGGGAACGTTTTACACGTTTTTGAAAAACAGCTTTGGTGTTAGGTCTTCCTAGCAAGTTGGCATGCACTTCCCACATCCTGTTGGACTTCTTGTTCTTCCTTGTTGCAAGAATCCCCCTCCTTTGCTTGTTTTTGTTACTGAGCCACACTAGAAAATGTGTGCATGGCCTTGTAATATGCTGTGCTGCTTTGGACTAAGAGGAAAGAGCATGGGCCATGTGAAACTGAACAGAAGGCTGTTCTGTTTACTGATCAGACTTTTTTTATATCCATCTCCCACTGAATAGTAACTGAATTTTTTTTCTCCCGAGAAGACCCATTTCACTTCATTTCTTTTCTTAACTTTTCTTTTTAATTGAAGTGTAGTTGATTCACAGTGTTGGGTTAGTTTCTGGAGTACAGCAAAATGATTCAGTTGTATATATATAATTTTCATATTCTTTTCCATTATGGTTTACTACAGGGTATTGAATATAGTTCCCTGTGCTATACAGTAAGACCTTGTTTATCTATTTTTATATGTAGTAGTTTGTATCTGCTAATCTTTTCTCATTAAAACTTGTATTTCTCTTTTTTCTAATTGGATTTCCTGATGAGCTCTTAGGTGAGTGGGGAGGGATATGCATCAGTTTTATCAGACTGTTTATTGTCTAGTATGTGAATGGTTTCACGGTTATTGAACAATAGTAGCAAGATGATGGGCCCTTTTTTTTTTTTTTAGTGTTATACTGTCTCAAGTACAGTTTTTAAAAAGTGCCCCTTACCTGTAGTCATCACTCTCCAGAAGTTGGTAGACTCTTACTGCTGCATGCTTTAGCGTGGGAAGCCCTGTGGGTTGAAAGAGAAATATCCTGGCAGACGCGGCGTGGATGAGAGGAAGGGGTAGTGTGCCTGCTGCTGGCCCCCACGTGCCTCGTTTCATTGTTCGTGGCTCTTGCAGCAGCATGTGGTGTGGTAGAGGGCACTATTTTTAGTAGGAAGTAGTTTTTTGATCCTAAGTAATGTGTAATTTTAATACATGTTGCTTTTCTTTTATCTCCATGTCTTCCTTTATCTCTTGAGTTTCTAGTACACGACCGTAGGCCCTTGCCTCTTCTTAGTTTGGATACTGGCCTTGGAAAATCTTAACACTTTTTGGCAGATACCTTCTATGATATTTCTTTCCCTAGCATTAATTCTAGCCTTAATATATGTTTGGGGTTTCTTCGGGTTTTTTTTTTCTTTCATGTCCCTGGAGCAAAATTTTTTATATTCTAGTGCAGTTTCCTCATGTTTTGGCTTTCACAACCCCTCTTCTTCAGTCTTCTGCTTCTCATATATGAAAGCCTCCTTAAGCACTGTCTTCTAGTCTTCCAGAATGGGGACCTGTGAGATAAAAGTCTGTCTGTCTATCTTTCTATCTATCTTCCTGTCTATCTATCTTCCTATCTAACTATCTTCCTATCTTTCTTTCTTTCTATCTATCTATCTGTCTATCTATCTATCTATCTATCTATATCTAATCTATTTATCTATCTATCTATCTATCTATCTATCTATCTATCTATCTATCTAATCTATTTATCTATCTATCTATCTTTCTATCTGTCTGTAGGTCTCTGCCCCAGGTCCTTGGGACAGAGCTTGTGAAACCTTGTAGTTTCTTAAGTGATAAGAACTCTAGGAGCATCTTGTTCTATTGAGGCAGCTCTGGAGTGGGATCCTGGATGAGGGCTATTTCATCAAAGAGACCAAGAGATTAGAAGCTTGGAATTTTCAGCTCCACCCTAAGACTCTCCCCCCACCCCCCACATTCTTTCAGAGAGGGGAGAAGGGCTGGAAGTGGAGTTAACAGTTGAATATGCCTGTGTGAGTTCTCCATAAAATTCCAATAGTAGTGCCTTGAGGAGCTGCCAGATGGGTGGAACACTTCCACTTCTGCAGAGTGACATGCCCCAAATCCATGGGGACTGAAGCTCCTGTGCTCAGGACACTCCTAGACCTTGCCCCACGTAGCTCTTTATCTGGCTGTTCACCTGTATTTGTTTTCTCCTTAAAAATCTGGTAAACATAAGTAAGTGTTTCTCTGAGTTCTGTGATCTACTCTAGCAAATTAGTTGAACCCAGGGAAGGGGATGGTTGGAAACTCTGGCTTCTGAGGGATGGTGGCGGGGGGTGAGTCTTGGAGGACTGAGACCCTAACCTGTGAGATCTGACACTATCTCCAGGTAGCTTGTGTTAGAATGGAGTTAAATTGTAGGACGCCAGCTGGTGTCACAGAGAATTGCTTGTTGGGAAAAACCACACATTTGGTGACCAGAAGTAGAGTATTATGTGAGTAGTAAAGAAGACTCACCGAGAGAAACATAGTGTGGAAGAACAGGGGTTTTTCCCTCCTCAGGAAGAAAGATCTGAGTTTTTTCCACTATAGGAAAAATACTCACTTGGAGTTTTATTCTTACTGTAAATACAGCTAAATAAATTCAGGCAATAGCATTCTTGGCAGATGGAATCTTGCAGTGAACGTCCAAAGGCTGGAAAATATTTGTCGACAAGAAGGCTGTTGTAGCTGGAAAGTGGGATGGACTTAGAGGAAGCCAAGAGTGGAAGCATCCCCATTTGGGAAGTTATGCAGTAGTTCAAACTACAGAGAGAACTGGCTTGTAGCACACATTCACAGTAGGGATGTAGACGAGTAGAAGAAAAAAGCAATGAATGTGACAGAATTTGATAATGAATTAGGTGTTGGAATGGTAAATGAGAAGAAAGATCAAAACTGAATCTGGTGTCTGGCTTGAGTCACTGGGTGGACAGAATTGCTCTTTACTCAGATAAGTGAAAAGAAAAGTGAAGTGAAAGAAAGCCTGATTTTGTTTTTCTCTCTTGTCTTGGTTTCTTTGTTTTTGTTGGGGAGGCACTCAGAAGTTTGGTGTTGACTGTCTAAGTTGTGTGCCTGCCAAGAGTGGATGAGAAGGATACCAATGTACAAGGGTTCCAGAGCTCAGCGAGGTCGTTGCTGGCAGTATTTAGGGGGAATCTGGCAGTGAGCCTGCAGCAAGGCCGGTCTAAGTCGAAGGTGATAACCCATCTTCCCTGTAAGAAAAATCCGCATAAGATTTTTTGGTCAGCTTGAACACAGTGTATTTACAGAGCTGTAACAAAATAGTCAAATGTCTATTAAATTAAATTGTTAGTTTAGTTATACATACATATTTTAAAATAATGTAAAATAATACTTTAGAGAGATTTTTTCCTTTTATTTCATGATACAGTTTTCTTCAAATGCTTTGTATAAATCTGTATGCACACCGAAAAAAAAAATTAATTGGTAGAATGTTTTATAATATGAAAACCTTTGTGAGGATAATTGTTGGGTGTAAACTTTTCATTTTAAAATAACTTAGTGAATTTCCACTATGAATTTTTTATCCTATTTCCTTGCCAGTATTTGTCAAGGGAACTAAACTTATTAATATGTACACTTTTCCATGAACATGCAGAGAATTAACTGTGTAAAAAGGAATGCATGTTTCCATTTAAGTGACAGAAGTGTTTGCAGCCTAGGGTCTGGAAAATAGAGGGGAGGAGACCTGATTTTAGTGTAAATGTCACCACTTTTATAGCCTCTATTGTGGTAGGAATTCTGGAATAAGACTGATAAATAAGGGCGTTTTTCTTTTTCCCTTTTCTTTCAATAAACTACTGCTCTTTGCTTAATCCTGTGATATATTATATAAGCAAAGAAGTATAGCTTAGA